ATGATAAACGCGATGTAAAACACTTTACACTTCCTTAGAAATTTGCAACATTAATCAACAATTAATCACTGTCACAGAACAGCTATCGTTTGAAAACACAGGTTATCTTCGAAAGTGAATGCTGGTCTACGCCGAACACAGCAGCCATCAATACCCAATAAGACCAGATAAACAGGTGGTCGATACTGTGAACATAGATCCAGCTTATCGGTGTACAATACTCTAGCTAGGACATTGTACATGTTAAACGTCAATGCCAGAGAGTAACCAGCCTCGATTATCCGGCCAAACAAAAGACACAGTGCATGGATAGGAACGGTATACATCAGTGGTGGACACCAGGTGTTCGCTAAAGGATAAGGATATGCCCTGCTCTATAGTATTTCTTAATAGCTCCTGCTTTATAGGTGGGTGGTTCCCGCTTTCTCTACATCTTAACGGGGAAGTGGGGTAGCCTAGTGGTTAAAGCGTTCGATCGTTATGCCAAAGATGGTTCGATTCCCCACATGGGTATAATTTGTGAAACCCATTTCTGGTGTCCTCTGTGATATTGCTGGAATATTGCTAAAAGCGGCATAAAACCTTACTTCTCACTCACTGTATTTAAGAATATAATAAAGACAAACCTGTTTGTTTCTTGAATAGTTCCTTGATTCAGCAAATCACGCACAACATCAGCTCCCATACACAGGCTGATGTAAGGGCAGGACGGAGAGGTCTTCGCATGGGTTATCCACGGGTCATCCTCTTCTAACCAATTGTATAACTTTACTCAAAAATGATCATTAACACGTGATCATTATATTATTGTAATAATGCAATGGTCTCTGATTTTTGGCGTTTATTTCTCACGATTATGGGAATGCTTTCATGCTTTTATTGCTACACCAGTAAATGTTCAGTGACGTCAGAATATAGCGTCAGAGTCCTAACTTTGGTGACATAAGTGTAAGTTAACTACTTCACTGTTTCCCCTCCCGCAACGTTCTCATTGTCTCAAGATATCACATGACTGTGTGCTATTAACATCTAAATTTCTATCCTATCCGTGACTGAGTGAGTGTAGTTTTACACCGCTTTAAGCAATATTCCAGCAATATCAAGGCAGAGGAAACCAGAAATGGGCATCACATTGTACCCGTGTGGGGAATCGTATGGTGGCTGATTAGGGCCATGTCTCGTGTATTCGCTTTCTCGTCTCGCGATATCGCTTTCTCGCTTTCTCGCCTCCGAATTTTAAGGCGAGAAAGCGATGGCCCTAATAAGCCACCATAGAATCGAACCCGGGTCTTCGGCGTGACCATTTTGTTTTGATATATATAGTGGTTGGCTGGTTGGTAAGTTGGTTTGTTGTTTAACGCCGAACTCAGCAACGGAGTGACGACCAAACGCTTTAACCACTAGACTACCCCACCGACCCTTGATCCTTTCCATCTCTATATCAAGAAAATCGTTCATGTTTAATGGATTTGCACGAATAAGTTCAATCTGTCTATATATTGGCTTATTAAACACAGTGTTGGCTGCCACACACGATATCATTGTGGTGTGTAATCTCGGGTGTGTCAATATGCATTTTGATAGTTTTGTGAATCAGTCTTCGGAAACAGTGACGTGGAGATTTTTTGACAATGGTTTGCATGTCTGCAAATTACATTTCTAACATGCAAGGCAGATATGAATTGTCAATGGTAATTCCTTTTTACCACATTCCTAGCTAAGAATTTCACGTTGTTACAACGTTGTGTCACAACGTAATGCTTTCGTTGTTACATCGTTATTCTGTGGACTCCATTTACGTTGTCACAACGTTGTGCCATGACGTTACCAAGCTACAACCTTCCCACAACGAAAACGTTGTGTGGTAGCTGGATTGGCATTTTGCCTGACATTTGATAAGTAGGCTGATTTAGTTCCTACTATAGCTTAAGAATATATTAGGGGCAAATAATACCGCTTACGTTAGCGGATCAAAAGGGATAGCTACTTGATATCAGAATTTATATCAACACCATGGGAGAGCTCATACCTTTCATGCTCCAGTCACATTTTACATATCACTTCTTGAAACTGTAACTGTTAATCCAGCCTTTGAGATGACATCCACCCGTGTCTAAATAAAACGTTGCGTCGGCCATGTTAGAATTGTAAAGCTAGTATGTAAACAGAGTTTCAATACAGATGTCACAAGGGGAACGCAGCTGTTGTTTTGAGTGAGTGAGTGAGTGAGTTTAGTTAAGTTTGAGTTTAGTTAGTTATTTGATTGTGATGTAATTGAAACGGGTGAGTGAGTTTGTTTGGGTTTAAGCCAAATATTTCCTCAATATCAGTGGGGGAGACACCAGACGTATGCTTCATATTGTACCCATGTCGGAATCGAACCCGGGTCTTTGGGGTCCCGCGATATTACATATATCAGACTGGGGCGGTGGGGTAGCATAGTGGGTAATGCGTCCGCTCCTCAGACCGAAGACCCGGGTTCGATGGAATATTGCTAAAAGCGGCGTAGAACCATACTCACACAAAAAATATGAACGTTAAAGCCGGTCTATCGGCCTGGAGTGTCTGCTGAATTAAATTCCATTCTGTGATCAATGAAAAATATTGGCGAGAAGTATATGAATTGATCACGGAATTTCAGTCAGTTCACCAAGTGTTCGCATAATAAACGACCTAAATAGAAGCAAACTCTTCGGTAATGGATTTTCTGTGTCTATGCCGATATCTGGAACGTGAAAACTGTACAACTATAATGTTTGAGTATATGTTTGTGTTTCTGTCATGTACTTGTGAGTACTTCATAAACTTCATAAAATCGATTTCCAAGAAGTATGCTTTGAAAATTCTATTTTGAGTACGCAGAATATATTGTGACGTGAAATGTCTAGCAGCTAGAGAATGGTATTGACTCTCATATTGGTTCAGTTGGTGCCAGGAACAGGTTCAATGACGACATAAACCGTTTTAGAAAAGAAAAAATATTCTATTACGGATAAAGTGATAAAAGATAAAGAATGTGTCGTGGCACATTGTCGAGTAGTGTGTCGAGCTAAAAATAGAACATGTGGTCACAGCCACGAGTCATCATCCAAGTCTCTCAAGCGCATCCCAAAGTATGTTCTCATTGACCCATGCGCGAAGCCTTTTCAATAAGCATGGCATCAGCACTATTTCAGCCGAGTCATAAAGGCAAGGTCCGATAAAGCCGGAATCCTACAATGGAATTTATATATCGCTTGAGTATAATAGGATAGTGTTGTACTTACTTATGTATATGTTAAAATCCCTTTCAAGGACCTCATCAAAGGGAATGTCTATATCAGTCTAGCCACACTTCCGCTTTCATTCATCCATATCCGATGAGGTATGTCCACGAAAATATGCATGACAGTGACATATTACTTGTCTGACTAATAATAAGACTTACGAATCGTACCTGTGTGAGATGGAGCAGTCAATATAGGATGGTTTCGTAACTACTACCCAGATAACATTCGGACGTTGGCCCAACGTTGGCAATGTTGGCAAAACCATTGCCAACGTTGGACCAACGTCTGAATGCTATCTGGTTAAACGCAGGTTATAGGTACGGATATATTTTAATTGTCAGTGCTACTAGTATTTTTAAGAGTTCCGGCTGAAGATCCAGGTTAGATTGTCGTTAGTGGCGACTAACGGAATCGGACGGTCAGGCTTACTGACATGGTTGATTCCCCTTGACCTTATCCTCAGTTACGTCAATCGATGCTCATGTTGCCAATCACAGGTTTGTCTGATCCAGACTGGAATATTTCACAATCTCCGTTATGTACTAAACTGGAATATCGGTGAGTGAACAACAATCTTATAATTGGATTTATGCAAACAGACATTAGGTTGTGTTGATAGTTACACCGTGTCAGGGAGCTCATTAATGTGCATAGGTGAAAGGATTTTCAAAGGTTTCTACATATGTTATATAATGGTGTTCATGGACACTTAGGTATACATGATGTACACGACATACAGCTAGAAACAGCAGCGTTTCATTATACACCTTGCATTTGGGAATCTAGAATCTGGCATACACGTCCACCGAAGGCATCCTCATACGAGACAGTGCTGCAGAGTATAACTGCATCTTTATTCAAAATATTGCACTTCGTGTTACTTTGAATTCGATGGCGTGAACACAATGTCAAGGTCAACACCCGAAGCGGACTGTCTGGTATGACGTCATAGCCAGTGAAGGTTGACCGCTAAAGAATATTCATGCTTTTCAACGGGGCTATTTTGATGTGCTTTGGGTCTTTCTTACTTACTTACTTACTTACGAACTTACTTACGAACGTGGTGCAGATTTATCATAGATTCGGGGACCTCTCGTTCGTAGATACGCCCAAGTTCGAAATTACTGAAAATGATGAAAGAAGCCTACGAGGGGACCCTAGAAGCCTCTAACATCTAGTATCCAAAATGAACATAGTTTTTACTGAAAAACGTCCCTAGTAAAAGAACTTATATATAATACTGAAAAGGAGCCCTGAGACTTTCTTCACTTTCAAGCTGAGGAAAGTCTAGACTTGCCACATTTTCTGAACTTCTCACAGGGCTTTCTTGGATATGAGACTATGCTTCAGGGTCTTACGAGAGACTAGGAGGGGACCATGCAAGCTCTAACATCGAGAAAACCACAACACACCGACACACACACACACACTGTCTCACAGTCCACACACACACACACACAGATTTTCCCTATTGCACAGCCCTCAGAGAGAGACTGACACAGAAAGAAAGCCCTAGAGAGAGATGAAGCAAGTCTAGATTTCACAGAGAGGTTCTGAATCTCTTTTCTCACACACACAGGGGCTCCTTTTTGACACAACACTATACACACATGTGAGACATTAGTCTGTCTGAGAGAGAGTCCCCGAGCCATAAAAACACACACACACAAAAAACCCACCCGCTACCCATCCAAGGGCCAATTGCCGAACCGCTTCCAGTAATAGCTCCCCTGCATTCAGATATTGCCTTGTCGCCGTCAACTGTAGACGCGCTGTTACACATGCTGCGATACTTTCAACGTTGCTCTAAACATATAACCGGCAATAATGTGATCTTCTACCTTCTCACGTGTGTTAATATTCTACAGGACATGGCTAGAATGGATATGAAGTCGGAACGGACTAGACTTGGGACGTATGCAAGATGGGCGTATGGGTCAATACAGCGACCAGGTGACCTCGCAGCTACCGGACTGTTTTACACAGGCTATATGGACAAGGTACAGTGTGCATTCTGTCACGGTGTGTTGAAGAAATGGCAGAAGTCGGACATTCCATTTGATGAGCATGCAAGACACTTTCCTCACTGCAGGTTCATCCGGGGACTTCATGTTGGGAACATTCCTCTGAGTGCACATGTACTAGCACCGTTAACCAACACAACCCATCCTCATCGCCAGTATACTGTACCAGCATCTATTTCATCAGTAAGTGTTAACAGGATAGCAGGTGCGTGTTCATACGACGAACCAGTCGGTAATGTAGACTTAACAGTTGAAGATAATCGTCTTATAACATATATTCAGTGGCCACTTCACCTACCTCAGACTCCTGCAACGTTAGCAGCGGCCGGGTTCTATCATAAACCTTGCGTTGAAAAACCTGACCGCGTTCAGTGTGCATATTGTAAAGTAAAATTGTATAACTGGTTAGAAGAGGATGACCCGTGGATAACCCATGCGAAGACCTCTCCGTCCTGCCCTTATATCAGCCTGTGTATGGGAGCTGATGTTGTGCGTGATTTGCTGAATCAAGGAACTATTCAAGAAACAAACAGGTTTGTCTTTATTATATTCTTAAAAAAACAGTGAGTCGACGAGTAAAGTTTTATGCCGCTTTTAGCAATATTCCAACAATATCACAGCAGGGGACACCAGAAATGGGCTTCACACATTATATCCATGTGGGGAATCGACTGACTGAGTTTGGTTTTACGCCGCTTTTAGCAATATTCCAGCAACATCACGGCGGGGACACCAGAAATGGGCTTCACACATTGTGCCCATGTGGGGATTCGAACCCGGGTCTTCGGCGTGACGAGCCAACGCTTTAACCATTAGGCTACCCCACCGCCCCTGTGGGGAATCGAACCATCTTTGGCATGACGAGAGAACGCTGTAACCACTAGGCTACCCCACCGCCCCGTTAAGATGTGGAGCAAGCGGAAACCACCAACCTATAATAGAGGAACTATAAAGTAATACTATAAAACATGGTATGCTCCTTATCCTTTAGCGAACACCTGGTGTCATCACTGATGTAAAACGATCCGATTCATTCTATTCATTGTGTCTATTGTTTGGGCGGATGATCGAGGCTGGTTATTCTCTGGCATTGACGTTTAACATTTACAATGTCCTAGCTAGAGTATTGTACACCGATAAGCTGGATCTATGTTCACAGTATCGACCACCTGTTTATCTGGTCTTATTGGGTATTAATGGCTGCTGTTTACGGCGTAAACCAGCATTCACTTTCGAAGATAACCTGTGTTTTCAAACGATAGGTGTTCTGTGACAGTGATTAGTTGTTGATTAATGTTGCAAATTTCTAAGGAAGTGTAAAGTGTTTTACATCGCGTTTATCCTATCTGAAGAAACGCCATAACGCTACTGCTTGATCAATGTTTGCAGCAAAGCATAAAAGCTTTACCTCCTGCGTATCCCATGACTACGATGACGTCATAATTACCAGTTGTTACATGGAGGTATAAACGGTTTTACAGCATAAGACTCGTGCATCCAATCTGAAGACTAAGGTGACGTCATAATTACCAGTTGATGAATGTAACTTTACATGGATGTATAAACGGTTTTACAGCAAAAGACTCGTGTATCCAATCTGAAGACTAAGGTGACGTGTTTTCATGAATACTCAGAACTTTGTCCTCATATGTTTGGTAGCTGATACAGATGAGAAGGAATCTTGCTTGCACGAATATAGTATGTCCATGCACATGTAGCAGGAAATGGACTTAACGGTAGGTTAGGTTGCACTGTCTGAACAACGGCAACGACATCAATTATTAACATTTTTAATGCATTATTTGCTGTGCTAACAAATTCGTCATATGCATGAGTGGGCTCATGTGGTAAAACCTCCTTTCACTACTATTTTCACTACAGGACACAACGTGGCGTTATATTAAGCCGTATTCCCCAGGAAAGACCTTTAAGATTGACGAGGCATTGTTATTCTGTCAATGTAGAGCACATATAATCTCGGTTAGGTTGTTATATTTATAACCGTGTGCAGCTAATCTTTTCTGCACAGCAGCCTAATTAGACCGAGATGTCCTCTATGCATGAACATGTAAACAGTAACTGTTACCCCATTTCAACTGCATAAAAATCCTGCTACAAAGTAATCACTAATGGCAAACGGCAAACTTCCAGAAACACTTTGGACGCTGTTAAAGTTTAAACTATAACTTGACCAGTGGGGACACAATAGGAACAGACATTTCAAACCATAAACGTGGCTTGCTGCATATGTGAAACAGCATACCCCATCTATGAATACTGCAAATGACCGTTAATGTTTCAGCTGTAACAAAGCTGAGGACGACATCCAATCCAGGAAGCCCCAATCTACGGCCCCTCTAAGTCCTCCATCCACACCAGCGAGAAGGACGATTCAGGATAATATCACTCACCACATGAACGCTGAGTCGGTTCAGGCGGTCCTGGAAATGGGGTTTAGCAAGGATCTCGTGGAGAAAACTGTTGAAAACTGCCTAAAGGAAGACGATGAGACAATGCCCTCAGCCTCGGAGCTGGCTTCAATGGTTATTGCCCTGGAGGAAGAACAGGCATCTCCAGGTCTTGCTCCTGCTTTACCTCCAACACCGTTACAGAGACTGGTAGCCTCCAGAACAGATGTACCTCAGGCGATACCTCAGCAAGGAATAACGGTAAATGGTAGCAGGAATCCTGTTTTTAATGCCATGATACCTCCTTTCCACACACCTAATTCACACAATAACGTTATAACCATCAATGGTAACTTCATCAATGGAACAACTCAGCACAGTCGGGTTTGGCAGCAATATAGAGACCCTCAAAGATTACGCGAGGAAAACGCCCGTCTAAGCGATAGATACCTTTGTAAGATATGCATGGAAAATCAGGTCAGGGTGACCTTTTTGCCTTGCGGCCATCTTGCCTGCTGTGATCCCTGTTCTACCTCCCTGTCCCTCTGTCCTATCTGTAGAATGACGATCGAAGGTCATGTCGATACGTATTACTGAAGGATGACAAGGCAGAATCCTCCGTCCAATGGACGTCTGGTTCAGAGAAAGAGGGGCGCTCAGCATCAACACAAACGCCAAGGACAACATGTCACATCCTGACGAGATCCGGGCGTTCCGATACTCAGGGCTGTCCGGGTCGTGGGATAAAGACGTGGTATGATGTGAAGAAAGGTGGCAGAACATCAGGGTTGTGGCAAGATGATTTCAAGATGCAAGAGGCATCGCCATTGCCATAGAGTGGAAGAAGATCCTGAAGAAGAAGATCCTGAAGAAGAAGATCCTGAACACTCCCACTGCGACGTATGGATAGTACCAGTTTAAGTAGAAACAGTTACCTAGATGAGGAAGACGAGGAGGAAGATCAGAAGGCTTGGAGGAAGAAAGTTTTAGGTGAGGACAATGTTATCGTACAAGGAGTACAAGGCAGGCTATAAGACATTATACAGGCCGAAAAACTTGTACGATGCATGATGAATGTAGTTACACACTCAGAACAGACACACACAAACGTACAGGCAGACACGCACGCACGCACGCACGCAGACGTACGTACAGACACATCCACACACAGAGAGACGCGCGTACAGACACACACACACACACACACACACACACACACACACACACATACTCTGTGTAGATGGTCGCCAGTAACAGAAGAGATGTACAAGGAGATAGAGAGACTGTTGTGAGCGAAGGATTATAAGTGGCAGCATGTGACTGAAACGCTCTCAAAATATCAAGTCCTGTTGTAGCAGCATCAGTTATTAGAGTTACCTCCCTTGGCAACTGACACACCAAATACGATTTGATCATCCAAGAAGTTACGGAATAGGGCGGTTTCTAGACACGTGCCCTTCTCATTACAGTGACTATGATATCTTTTGGACTCACGTTAGTACGTCAACATATATTATATGTTACTTATTTTACTCTGTACCATTTGTGTGTGAATGTAAAACTAAAACTTATATTTCAATACAATGTGTTGTTTGTTCATTGATCACATTACTGATTTCACAGATTCACCTGCTTAATAGGTGGGTGGTTTCCGCTTGCTCACAGCTTAACTGGGCGAAGGAGTAGCCTAGTGGTTAAAGCGTTCGCACGTCTTGCCGAAAACCCGGGTTCGATTCCCCACATGGGTACAATGTGTGAAGTCCATTTCTGGTGTCCCCCGCCGTTATTTTGCTGGACTATTGCTAAAAGCGGCGTAGAACAATGCTCAGTCATTATTTCGTTCCCAACGTAACGGGTTTTTGGTTAACCTTAGTCTTTCAGTTGGAAACTACCTGGTATCGTTTGTAAGTGTAGAAGTGGGGGCGTTTTACTAGTGCATACTTGGAATAGCACATACCCAAAACTGGATCCGAACCTTCCTGCTGTGACCATAAGGCCTTTGGTTTTGAACGACATGTATGCAACCTGCTGGGAACAGTCAATGATTGTCAGTATCCCTGAGAAAAAAACCCAGTCTCAGTAAACTTAGGCTAAATATTATACGTTACACTGCTATACTGAGTCTTAACAAAACCTGATAGAAGGTCGCATCAGCTAACCTTTGAGCGACCTATGACCGTCCAATCAAACGCGAGACGGCCAAACGGATTTAACCAATCAGACAACGGCTACTTGTTAGGGTTCGCGGGATTTACAAAATGGTACTGGATTTTCTCTTCCCGGGTCAATGACACTGATCTATCAACAAATGAAAATCAGCATGAAACACAGATATTTGACCTGCAGTATATACGCTTAGGGGTTTTTAATGGTATGGTTACTATTATATTATATTTCCGCAAGATGACATCCTTGAATATTGACAAAAACGCTATTTTCAGCGACTGTTTACTTATTACGTCCTCCATGTATCACTCGCAAGCGGTTGTGCGGAAAACAGCATTCGGAATCTTTCGAGTTTTGGGGGTAAAGGTCCAAACGGTATGTGCGAATGTGAACTTTCGCGATTTGGTAAGCTGTGTTCTGATTGGTCAGTCCAAAAGGTTAGCTGACGCGACCTTCTGCTAGGTTTTGTTAGACTCAGTAAAGCAGTGTAAGGAATAGTACTGAGCCTAAGTTCACTTAGACTGGAAAAAACGTGTCCATATATTGTGACAATAACTTAGATTACACAAATGGCATCACATGACGTCGAACTGTTTGATTGGCGAGATGGACTTCAGCTTCATAGTTGTACAAGAATCTATCCAGAAACGCCCTATCATAGAAAAAAGTTGGTCATCAAATTACACCAACACAATTATCTTGTCCTTACAGTCAGCTAAACCCTTTACTAGATTGTTTGACTGATATATGAAGGACTGATAAATATATCAGCAGTGATAACACACTGTAATGCACTGATAAGTAAGGAAGTAGTCCGCTGTAGTAAATCGGAGGGTGACAGACGTGACGTCATTATACACGTGACGAACATAACAAAGGGCAGATAACAATTTTTACGCATGCATGTATGTATTAGTTAGATCATTTCAAACCGAGATATGTGCTCGTATACACCACAGTTTTGCCGGAGTTGATTGACAGGTGGGAGACGCGAGAGCTTTGCTCGAGCTTCCTCAACACCTGTCAATCAACTCCGGCAAAACTGTGGTGTATACGAGCACAGATCGAGGATTGGATGAGCTAACTGACTTGTACCACGCCTATTATGTATGGGAAGCGGGAAAATCTTAAAGCTTTTAACGACCGTTTCATTCTCAGTCTAGTTGCCAAAATGAGTGCACATGTAGTGTGGGACGACGACACAGACGACTTCACACTGTCACAGATCGCATCAGTCATGGAAAATGAATTTCATGCATTTGAGGGACTTTCCCAGCTCACTCTTTCACAAACAGTGAATGAGTACGATGTAGACACTCTAATGGTGGGGGACTTTCGTTCTCATAAATAAAAGAGTTGGTCAATTTCAGCTTGTAAATTCATTTGAAACCATTAAAACTGTAGAAGTTACATTTCCTTGTTGCAAACCTTGACTGACATAAATTGTGTACAATGTTGAACAATGTTGAGTTCAGTCCTCTTGCCGTGGGGCGTGGCTTTTAGGAGCCAATGGCAGACGAAATCTGCCTTCAAGACAAAACTGTTGTCTTCCAGCACATACACCACGGGTAAGATCAAAGGAACCGACACTCAGGCGTGGTACAACAATTTTTACGCTTGCATGTAGGGAGGAAATAACATTCCCATCCGTGTTTAAGAGCTCACGTGGCTCCTCACAAGGAAGAAGCTTCTGAGACTACAGGGTACAACTGCTTCAGTGCCCCTTGCGTAGAGTTGCTATTTGGGTGACAACTATTTATTGATGATATGAAAATATCAAGGTGGTATTTTGGTACAAAGTATTCAGTTAATATACACCATATAGGGTGCAAAAAATATCATGATCTCCACCGAATATTCATTCAGAAACTGAGTGAAATGCGTTAGTTTTGTCTTGATGGTGCGGAAGAAGTCACCGGTTGCACATACAGTAATCTATGAACTGACAGTCTTTTCCATGGCAGGTGTATTGTCGTATTATGCAAGATACACATGCTCTGTTTAAATATGTTAAATCATATGTAGGCGCGTTCATGTAGTGCCATAACTTCAGAACAGATGGGAACTCGCGGGGTGATACTACTACTACTACTACTACTACTACTACCACTACTACTACCACTACTTCTACTACCACTACCACTACTACTACTACAACTACTTCTACTAGTACTACTACTACTACTACTACAACTACTACTACTACTACTACTACAACTAAATGTTATACTATGTACTACAACTTCATGTAGTACAAACTTCTACAACAGATGGAAACTCATATATTACTACGACTACTACTACAACAGGATACTACTCTGGGTGCTGCCTTACCACTACTACTACTACTACTACTACTACTACTACCACTACTACTACTACTACTACAACCACTACTACTAATGCAACTACTACTACTACTACTACTACTAGTACCACTACTACTACATCTACTAGGTACCACTACTACTACTCAGCCCCTATTGTTACTACTACTACGTTACTACTACGACTACTACTACTACTACTACTACTACTAACTACTACTACTACTACTACTACTACTACTACTACTACTACTACTACTACTACTATCTACTACTTCTACTACTACTACTACTACTACTACTACTACTACTACTACTACTACTTCTACTAGTACTACTACTACTACATCTACTAGTACCACTACTACTACATCTACTACTACCACTACTACTACTACTCCTACTACTACTTCAGCCCCTATTGTTACTACTACGTTTGCTACGACTACTACTACTACTACTACAACTACTTCTACTACTACTACTACCACTACTACTACCACTACTACTACAACTACAACTACTACTACTACCACTACTACTACCACTACTACTACTACCACTACCACTACTACTACTACAACTACTTCTACTAGTACTACTACTACTACAACTACTACAAATTCTACTACTACAACTAAATGTTAAAGCATATGTAGGCGCGTTCATGTAGTGCCATAACTTCACAACAGATGGGAACTCATGGGTGATATTACTACGACTACTACTACTACTGCTACTACTACTACTACTACTACTACTACCACTTACTGCCACTGCCACTACTACTACTACTACACATACTACTACTACTACTACTACTACTACATCTACTAGTACCACTACTGGACTCATACTCTACTAGTGCCACTACTACTGCTTCAGCCCCCATTGTTACTTCACTGCTGCGTTTGCTAATTACTACTACTAACTACTTCTACTAGTACTACTACTGCTACTACCACTACTACTACATCTACTTCTACTACTGCTACTGGTCCTACACTACTACCACTACTGCTACCTGCTACTGTTGTCTACTACTTCACTGCTCCTGGTACTGCTACTTCAGCCCCTACTGTCTGGATTCTACTACTACTAACCACTTCCCACACTGACTACTGCTGCTACTACTACTACACTACTGACTACTACGACTACTACTGTTACTACTACGTTTAAGCTACTACTACTACAACTTACTACTACTACTACGTCTGTACTACTACGACTACTACTACTACTACTAGTAATTACTACGACTACTATTACTACTACCACTAGATTACTACAACTACTTCTACTGCTACTTACTATTACTGCTACTACTACTGCTACCACTACTATACTACCACTACTACTACTACAACTACTCTACTTACTACTACCACGACTTCTACTACTACTACAACTACTTCTACCACAACTACTCTACTATACTACTACTACTACATCTACTACCTACTACTACTACATCTACTAGTACTACTACAACCACCATTAGGGGTTACAACTACTTCTACTAGTGGTTGTACTAGTTACTACTACATCCACTGCACAACTACTACATCTAAAGGCTACTACATCTCTAGTACTACTACTACTCAACTACGTTTGCTACGATCTTTCCTGCTACAACTACTTCTACTAGTACTACTACTACTCCTACAACCAGTAATGCCGTATTAGGGTTAAGTATGGTTGTAGGTTATACCATGCACAACACCACAAAAGGCAGTATTCGCTATGATCAAAATCTTTCTGACCATATTCAAATATAACCATAAAGCGAATGAACGTGCACGATCAACTGAAAGGCTGCACTTTTATCCACTTATTGATCTATTGAATGGTTTTAGCATGTGTGAAGTCGTAAACATATCACATGTCACACACTGATGTTACTTCGATATGCTCCTTTGTCAAAACAAATACTGTAAGTGTCTTTACTGGGCGTGGGACACGGAGTTGCAGGAATGGACAGATTGGAAAGGTATCTGTCAGACAGTGATCTCTAGAGTGCGGCGTAAAACTAAACTCAAGTAACGGGTATTAGCGATGGGGCAGGATACACTCACTCTTTACC